AGCTTGTGTTAAGTTGACATAAAACTAGGCAGCACAGATTCCCCAGAACCTATGTAGACGGTGGGAGGGCATTGTGACTCACCTGTAATTCCAGGCTTAGATGGCAGAGAGACACAGGATTCCCAGAGCAGGCTGGCCAGTGGGAACAGCCATATTGACAAGCTCTGGGTCGAGAGGACCCACTGGCATAAATAGGAGGATGAATGTGGATAAACCCCAGGCTCCACATCCCATCTAGGATGGTTTCAAATACCAATAGCTTCCACATGCACACACATGTATGCATACCCCCACATACTCCACACATGCAGACATGCATATGCACACATGCTCACCACATACACTCACAAAGAAGAAGAAGAAGAAGAAGAAGAAGAAGAAGAAGAAGAAGAAGAAGAAGAAGAAGAAGAAGAAAAAGAAAAAATGGCAGAGCCTGGACAGCTGGACCTGTAGGCTTCCCTTGACAGACCTCCACTCCACTTCCCTCTGTTTCCATCACACTCACAGAACACCTCAGTTTCTCTTTATAGGAGTTATACATTTATTTATGCAGGTCATGTCTGTCTCAACACTGGAGTCCAGCCACTGGGAGGTGGGGATGGATTTGGCACAGTAAGAATTCAGTGTTTATCTGCGGGACAAAGGAATAACCATTAGGCCTCCATGACCTGTCTCAGGGCTGAAGTATTCTTCATTGCTGGAGGAGGAGGCCCATGTGTGGGTTTCTCTTAATGTTTCTGGGGTGGCAGTGGGGCTAGAATCTCAGACTGGAGGAAACAATAGGTTTGGGAGCTATGGTGGGTGCTGGGCACAAGAGGTGATCTTCTTCTAGCTCTCGGGGTCCCAGGAAGCAGGTGAGACAGGGCCAGGGAGATGATAACATCAGACATGGGGTCCAGCCTCATGTCTATCAAAGCCCCTTCTGGGTAACACTCAGTGAGCCTACATCACCCTTCTGGGCCTTGGTTTATCCTGTGGCATGAGGTTAACTAAGATGATTCACAAAGATTCCTTTTACATAGCAGTTTGATGAGATTGGAATCTAGAATTACAAGTTCAAGGGCCATGGGAGCTGTAGCTGAAGTCAAAGTTCATCATATCTTACAAAAGTTGTCTTACAATGGTGTCTGGCACAGAGAAAAACTTAATAAATGGTCGCTAGTGGCCTGAAGTAAAAAGCTTAGTGTGGGGATGTTGGAAAGCCAACCCCCTCCAGCTTGCAAAGGTAATTCTGTAGATTCTAGTCTAATCACCTGGTCTTGTGCTGCTTTGTTTCCGTGTGACTATGACAGGCTTCTGGTAGGTGGCCTTGGTAAGATTCTTGTGTTGTTTCTTGGTAAGATTCTTGTGTTGTTTCTTCCTAAACATTCCTACCTGGAGGAGGGCGGGGACCTCATATGACTCGGAAGCACACAAGGAGTCCAGGGAGTCAGGGAACTCTTGAGGACCCAACCCCAAGGTCACTGGGGAGAGGAGATGCTTCCTTGGGTCTGGTGCCAAGGGTAACACTCAGTGAGCCTACATCACCCTTCTGGGCCTTGGTTTATCCTGTGGCATGAGGTTAACTAAGATGATTCACAAAGATTCCTTTTACATAGCAGTTTGATGAGATTGGAATCTAGAATTACAAGTTCAAGGGCCATGGGAGCTGTAGCTGAAGTCAAAGTTCATCTCCACGTTTTTTTTTCTGCAAGCTGAGTAAGGTGAATAGATCCATTTTGCTTATTTCCCAGCTGGGAAAACACTTTGCCAACTGAGTTACAAACTCTTATCATGCACATGTAATAATATAGTTCTTTAAATGGACCCGTGCCATTACAATTCAATAATGTTTAGAATCAAATAGGGTGGGCATGGGGGGTACTTGGCAGTTCCTTCAAGTCAATAGCAATGACTGAGTGCTTTCTGGACCCACATTCCCAGAGGACTCAGTGAAAAAACCTGGGTTGATCTGTGCTAAGCCCTTGCTGTGTGGGAGATAGGCTGCTGGGAGGATGGGCTCCCGAGAGCTAAGAGGGCTGATGTTGCAGGTATTCCTTTGAAAGTACTGGTCTCCCTTCTTGCTGAAATGTCCCTTCTGGAGAGCCAGAGCCATGCTGCCACCATCTTGTGCGCCATCAGTGGGGCAGGACTTCAGTTTGGAGCTCTACTAGCACTTACTACTGAGCATTGTTAGAGTACTCTCAAGCTACTGGGGCCTGTGAGAAGTGGAGATTGATGGAAAGTACCTAGGAGGCCAGCAGTGGTCCAGAGATAGTGGCCTAGGAAAGACCCAGAGCAAGCTCTGCCCATATCAGAGGAGGAGGAGGAAGAGGAGGAGGAGGAGGAGGAGGAGGAGGAGGAGGAGGAGGAGGAGGAG